TCTTCTGGGGCTTTTCCCTGCTCCTGGGGGTCTCTGTCACTCCGGGAGGGAGTTTGAGGTGTTGAGTGATTCTTAGAGCTCCGTCTCACGAAGAAGCAGGGGGTGAGGAGGAGAAGTTGTTCTCAGGATTTGCCTCAAGTGATAAGATGCGGCTCCTCTGGGTACCCTTTACAAGCAAAATGTAACTCCCATCTGGGGTAGTAAAGTCACACCTAATAAGGTTCCGTGATGGAACCACTAGAACTGTGCAAAAGCACTCTGAAGCATAGAGGTGCGAATGAATGTCAGCAGCATTTCCCCCAGGGTCAGTGTCAGTGTGGAAGCTTCTCTGAGTGTCAGAGTCACGGTGAGGGTGATGGGTTCACAGAAGCACAGAATGTCAGGGGTTGGAAGGGACCTCAAAAGATCATCTAGTCCAGCCCCGCTGCCAGAGCAGGATCCCCTACAGTAGGTCACACAGGAACGCGTCCAGGCGGGTTTTGAATGTCTCCAGAGAAGGAGACTCCACAACCTCCCTGGGCAGCCTGTGCCAGGGCTCCGGCGCCCTCGCAGGGAAAAAGTTTTTTCTCAAATTTAAATGAAACGTCTTGTGTTCCAGCTTGATTCCATTACCCCTTGTCCTATCATTGTTTGCCACCGAGAAGAGCCTGGCTCCATCCTCGTGACACTCCCCCTTTATATATTTATAAACACTAATAAGGTCACCCCTTAGTCTCCTCTTCTCCAAGCTAAAGAGACCCAGCTCCTTCAGCCTTTCCTCACCAGGGAGATGTTCCACTCCCTTCATCATCTCTGTGGCTGCGCTGGACTCTCTCCAGCAGTTCCCTGTCTCTCTTGAGCTGAGGGGGCCAGCACAATATTCCAGATGTGGCCTCACCAGGGCAGAGTAGAGGGGCAGGAGGACTTCTCTCAGCCTACTGGCTACTCCCCTTCTAATCCACCCCAGGATGCCATTGGCCTTCTTGGCCACGAGGGCACATTGCTGGCTCATGGTCAAGGTTGCTTCATGAACTTAGAAAAAAAAAAATATGTTTTAATATAAGCTTTAATTTATGTTAGAAGTAATAAGAAGTGAACAGTTGTGAGAAAGACTTGGAACAGTGTCCCGTGACTCTGAACTGAGCCCAAGGCCACTGTTTCGCGACACGCAGCAGAATTGAGTTTATGTCGATGTGCCTTCTGCAGCTGTGCTTGTGTGATTGTGCTGTCTGTAGCTCTAGAGAGAGGGAATCTGCAACTAAACAGATCTCAGTTCCCTACATCCTAACTCACTGTCTTCTACCTGTGTAAATAGTACTCAGGGCTAAAATATTTTTTAAAAAGGTACTGCTTGCTGTTGCATCCTTCCTCTAAAACATCAAGTGTCTTTTCACATTTTCTTTCTAAGATGCAGTAATTCATGAAAGATACTTCAAAGTCATGATAACACCAAAAATAAAAAAATAGCAAATTTTATGTGGTAAGACTTTCTATGTGTAACTTCTTGGCTCCTGAACTTAGGGCTTTAAGAGAAGCATCAAATATGAGTTTTATGATAATCGTTTGCGGTTAGTAATAGTGCAGCATTACCAGTTACATTTCCCCTCCAACATTTTAATTAATTCTGACCTGTAGTACGGAATTTCATTAATCTGCTTTTGCTATATTAATGTGACTACCATAAATTCAAAACTCTATTTGGTTTATAGGTGCTCTTCTAGTAGTACAGCTCTTGGGAAGACTGTGGACAGTTCAGGAGGTACGATGTCTCAATTACGAGTTCCTTGCATATGTTTTGGGGTTGAGTTTTGGTTTTTTTAATCTCCAAACGATATATAGTGTGTCAGGAGATAAAGAAGACATGAATGCCTTCTTTCCCCTTCTTGGATTTTCTTTTCCCCATCTTCACTCTGCAGAGATTTCCTGGTTTAACTTGATTACCCGCACTGCCAGCCAGCTCTGCGCTCCAAAAGCATGGACTCTGCACTCCTTACTGTAGTTCTGATGTGAGTTTTGTGAGAAAAGGGAGGTGGGGTGCTTGGAGATGTGCTGCACATGGGAATGAGTCCCTGCTGATCAGTAACAGCTCACAGGAGCATCAACACAGAGGTGGTGGGAAAAGTGCCTCTGCACGCTCTGCCTGGCTCTAGGGCTTGTAAGGGGGAGGTCCCACATGCTCCTCTGTGACTGAATTTGCTAAGAGACTTTACTGACAACCTCTACCTTTTTCTTTTAATACTTTAACAGCAGGATCAGCTTAAATCACCATTTTTCAAGAGGTCAAGGTTTTCTCTGGGCATCTGTTTGTTTCTAATAACAGTTTTAATATTGTTTCTCGTAGTTGCTCGTGAAGAAATTGTGCTCCCCCGAAGGAAAACCTGGTAAGTTTTTACTGCTGGAATGTCTCTCAACCCGGAATACAATCACTGTTAGGCAGCTAAATGCAGTCTGTCCACCATAGCTGAAAAGGAAAATTCGTGTAGCTGTATTCCCGGATTTAATGTCCCATTTTATGGCTGACTGGGACCTATGGGAGTACTCTTGACTCCTGTTCTGTACATACTCTGCACACTGTTCCTGACCTTCCTTTTACAAACAGTTACAAGGACTGTGTTTATAACTGTAGGGTTTTTTTTTTCTTTGAAAAAGATCGTGGTCACTAGAAATCTCTAAAATCAGGTTCATTTTGGCATGTGGGTGTGTTTCAGCAAAACAGACCTGACCATTGATAGCTGGCTGAAAAAGTCCTGTTTAGAAATTGTGCAGCTGAACAAAAACTGTTTTGTTGGAAGCTCCTAGGATGAAATTACATGACTACAGCAAAAAAACCCCAAGTTTATAGCCAAATGGTGTCTGCAGCTAAAATAGCACCACCTTCACCTAAACACTTTCATTGGCTTTTTCTTGTTTGCTTGGAGCACAACCGAAGTCTTAAGGATGCACGGGCGTAGGAACACTGAGAAATCTAGTTTTGTTAGGGTTTTTTTACGTCCCAAGATTTATCTTGGAGAGGGACTCATGCATCCATCCCTAAGTAGTGGGGGGGCTCTGAGAGGAGCATTCCAGGGAATTCTTTCAGTCTCCCTTTCTGATGTTCTTTCTTTGATAATCTATAGTAAGGGCAGGAGTGGTAGGAGAAAACACACACGCTTTTCTAATTTTCCTACAATTCTTTGCTTTTACCTGTGGTTGTTCCAGAACGGAGACCGTTTTTGCAGTTGAATTTTCCCTCTCATCTCGTATTGAGCTAAACAGAACCAAGTCTGTTCAGTCATTTTGCTTTTCAGCTCAGTCTCTTCTAAGAGGCTGCACTCTGAAGGTAGCAGCGTGTTTTTGCAGACAGTGCCTGCTGCGGGAAGTGATAGCACCTGATGTTTATAGTTACCAAGCACTGGGATGCGGAAAGTCTCTTGCTTATACTTGCTCCTGTAGTGACCAAGGGCACTGCTGGCTCTTGTGTGCCACACTGGGGTGCTGGGAAGGAAAAGAGGTTGCACCTCCAGAGAGAAATGGACAGGACAGGTGACCCACAAGTGTATTCCATTCCATACACCTCATCTTCAGTACAAAGCTGGGAGATGACAGGGGTTAAGCTCTGCAGCGTCAGTAGCGATTGCTGTCAGGGTGGGGGAGTTTGATTCGGTACTGGTTTTGTACATATAGATTTTTTTTTTGTTGTTATTTTCCTTATCAATAGTATTACTGCGTAATTGAAGATGTTTCGTTTTCCAGTCTATAAATCTCTCTGCCTCATTCCCTTTCTCTTCCCATCTGGGGAGGAAGAGGGATTAGAGACCATCTGTCAGTATTTAGTGGCCATCCCAGCCCTAACCCTTGACACCTCCCTTTGGTAAAAGTGGTATTTTAAGTGCAGCAAAACCAGTATTTCCTAGAACTGAAAACCCTTCATGATCCTGTGCTTGTGCTGCGTACAACGTAATGCATAAGATTCAAAGTCTGCAACCAAGTATTAATCGAACTCTTGTGTTTAGGGATAAGCTAGCGGTTCTTCAAACATTGGCTTCTACTGTGAACAGGGTAAGTAATTCTGTTGTTACGGAAACAGTTGGAGTTGTCCATCCCACACAAGAGCCTTGCACTCCAAAGGCTCTTTCTGCTTTGGCCAGAAATGAAAGGTGGGACTTTTACTTCTGTTTTTTAAGGCATTTTCACTTTCCCTCAACATATTCTGCTGTGTCCTTAAAGCCCCGTTTTAGTGCTAACAGAGAGCAGCAACTCCCAGTGGAAGCTGTAATACTTTGATAAGGCTTTTGCTAACATCAGGAGCAAGTTTCTGTACTAATTCAACTTCCTAATCCGCGACTGCCTCTTCCCAAACTCAGTCCAGAAAGCACATCTTGCAAAGAGCAATCGGTGTCTACTTTTCCTAGGCAACAACTGTAAATGCTGGGGTCCCGTTCTTTAATCCTGCCTGTCTTGAGTTCTGGAAATCAAATCTGATCCTGCAAGAACCCTCACCTCCCCTGAGACTGTTACAGTCGGGGTCCTGCTTGCTTCGCAGGGCAGTTACTGATTGTTGCCTTGCAGCAAAGACCCTTTTGCTGTCGCTGTGCTAGCCTCTGTGTGTGTGTGTATAATAGCAATGCTTTTTTTATCTATTTCCAATCACCCTTTTGAACAAAAAGAACTTTGGTTAAATGGACGTCAGGTGGTGGTTGTGCCAGCAGTGTTCATTGTGCCTTAAATTTCATGAGGCAGTGTGATACGCCTACAGCTGCCTGTGTACACAACTACAAACGTTTCAATCCTTTTTACAGGATCCTACTGCTGCTCATTATATGTTCCAGGATGACCCTTTTATGATGCCAAAAAATGCAGCCAATTCTGTAAGTATTTCTTTAAAATCCTTGATAGCTTCTCCCTTCCCCTACTTCATCTATGCTATGAAAACTCTTTCATTGGAGCCTAGTTTCAACCTCAAAAGAAAATGAAGTAACAGCTCCCTGAGAATTTTGTACTCTGCGTATTTCTGAGTGTGTAATGACTGTAGCATTTCTCTGGACAAATCCACTTGGCACACACAGAGTTGTCCCTTCCTGCCCCTGTAGGGACCTTCCAGCTGACACAGCTCTCTTAACCGTAACCACGTCAGTGGCTCACCTGCTGAGTGGTTCTGTTTCTCCATGTTCTTAGTCTATTAAATAACTCCCAACAGGGATTCTGTAGATGAGACACTCAGCCTGTTAAAACCTTGGATAGAGACTCTGAATATATTGTATTATGAGTGTTGAGATTTTGTGCTGCCAGTGTAGTTAACTTTAAGTTAAAATATATGACTTAAAACGCCCAAGATCACTTGTGCATGTGTTACTACGTAGACTACAAGTTACCAGTTTACTGTCCTGGCCAAGACCCAGGGATTTTCATTTTATTAGAGCTGCTATTTGGTAACTTAGACTAGTGGAAACAGTAGTATTGAGACGATAAGCCAAAGGAAGAAGGAAAGAAGCATTCCATTGATGTTATCTTTGCATAAAATTAAAGAGCGCAGAGCTGAGGCAGGAGAAAGCAGAGCTGGAAATGAGGGCAAAAAGAAACTGTTGTGTGTGGTGTTAATTGGAGAGTGGCAAGAGAAGATTGGGCGCTGGGATATGTGGTAGCAGATCAGAGATACAGCTGCCAGAGAACTGCAGTTCTGTGTACCAGCGGTGAAGCCACTGAGAAGGCTGAAGGCAGCTGTCAAATATGAAGAGTTTTAAAGGAAACGGCAAAGGAGGGTCTGACTTTAGAACTTTAAGAGGGGAATGGGAACGAGGTGATGTTCTTGGAAGTGACATCAGGGAGGAAGTGTCCAAGTGCTGTAAATCGAAACAGAAAGATGCTTTTGAGCTTGAGGTAGTAATGCAGCATTTCAGATGTCTGTGCAGAACTTTGTCCCTTGATTGAGTAAAAAGGAAGTAAGTGACAATCTCAACATCTAAAGAACAGACATCCTTACATTTGCATAAATACTAGAAGGTCTGTAATGTCATCTTGTGCCTGTGTCTTTACTAAGAATTCAACATGAAGCATGAGTTTAATTTGATCCCATCAGAATGCTTAGTGTTATGGAAAATGTGTTTCCTCACTCTCAGCCTTCTAATTGCATGTTTCTTCATCTTGTTCTCTCTTATTCCCATGTAGCGTCTATTTTTGTTGTCGAAGGAGTCTGGAAGAAATGCTGCAAAATACATTATTAAGCAGTTTCCTCAATATTTTGACAAGACTTTTTCAGAGCCCAACGTAGCAGTAAGCTTTTTAATTTTCATTTTCATTGTATTTGTGCTATTTTTTTAGGTAGTGAAATCAACTGTCAGACTGGTCTAACAAAAGAGCAATTTTGTTTACTGTTTTGCATACAGCTATGAAAGCAGTGCTATATTTAATATAGGAATTTAATATAGTATTAGGTTTTTCGATAAAAGTAAGAAAAGAAATGTTGTTTAGATGTTGACTACTAGCATGAAAGTGAGAGATCAGGATGTGTGGGCCTTCATCGCCAAAAGGACAGCTGTTGTTGGGCTGAGAGGGTCAGGACATTACCAAAGCAGTGTACTAGGTGAAGAGTTAAGCATATTTTTGTTAGTGTTTTAGCGGTGGTGTAGAGGAGGTTTTAAGCTTGTGTCTGACTCCCCCTCTTTGTTTTTAGTGCTTGATGCCTGAGACTCTTACAGCTCAAATTGAAGGAGTGAGTGAGGAAGCTTTAAAAGAGCGCATCCACCTCAGAAGGGTGAAAGATTCTGTGGACCTGTTTGATCAGCTCACACAAGCAGGTATGTGGTCACCTGCCTGGTTGTGTGGTGGAGCTCTGTTTGTACCAAAAGTATTTTAGTTGCTGGCACAGGCTGTGAAGACAGTTTCATGATGTGTTGCTCCCTTTTGCAACTGACTCTGGTCTGATGTCATGATTCTCCAGAATTACTGGGCCCTCCTTATCCACTGCTTCTCTGTCATGTCACTTTGGTGATAAGGAGAACAAGTGATTTTGTGGTCGAGAAGCAGATGATATGGTGGGTTTTTTTCTCTTCTCAAGTAGAAGACTTGTGATGCAGTAGGGCAGGGCCTGTGATGGGCAGGTGCTGTGTGACGGAGTGATGCCGTTCTGCCCGCAAAGGCCCTCGTGCAGCGGCACGTTGGTTGGGCTGAGCTCTGTCTGTGCTGAGCACTTTGCTGCTGTGTTGGACTGGTTTCATGTAACAGCTGAGTGCCCCTCCTGTGGACCTGCCCTCGATAAAGGAGACCTCCTCCGTTCTTCTTAACCTTATCTGTGTCATGGTTGAAGGAGGAAGAGACAATAGAAAACTGTAACTGCCACAGCCTCTGAAGGATAAAAACTTCCTGGGAAGGTGAGACCTACTCTTACCCATTACAGGATGGAAGGGAGATGATTCCATGATGATTCTCTTTTGGGTTTAGGTCTGTTTCATAGAAACTGAAACACACAAAGTGGTCTTCACAGCAGTAATAGGACTGACGAAAACTAGAGATATTGTATGAACCGGGTTGTGGCTGCCAGCTGCCACTTCCCTCTCGCACTTGGTCAGGAAAACTCTACGCTTTGAGTGGCTTGAATAGAAAAACAGATACTCCAGTTCAGTGTCAAAATTGTCTCCTGCTATGAATGGGTTTGTGGAAGTATTAGTGTCTCACCCAGGTTTTAGAGACTTGCCAGAGAATGCCTTTATGTTGAAAGAGAACACAGTGGAACAACTGGGTGTAGAATGGTGTGTGCTTTACTTCTGCAACTGTTGCACACCCTCATTTTCTGTAGGTACCCCTGTATCTTTAGAGACCACAAACAGCCTTTTGGATTTGTTATGCTTCTATGGAGATGGAGAATCTACTCTGGAAAAAGAGGAAGAAGACAAAGAGAACTTGGAAGAACCGGTGGTATGAAAAACCCATTGATCTCAATTTCTTTCATACATACTGGGAGTGTATCAAGGTGATGGTCTTTTTTACTGTGGCTACCTGCCTGGGAGATGGTATGGGTGCGTCAGATGCAGTTGGCATTCCCTAGAGGAAAGGCAATTATAACAGTCCTGTGTAGGACATACTATCAAAAGGAGTTTCTGTAAAGCTGAACTTAGCAGCTGGAATTCTGTCTTGCTTTAGTTCTGCTGAACTACTTCTAAATAACCATTTCTCACCAACAGTCTCAGTTTTATAGTTGCCTGCAAAGAACTCTAGTGGATCTGGTGTAAAATCAGGCAGTGAAATGTTCTTCCAGTCTGAACCTTAACTACTAGATTTCAGTGAAGTTGAGGGCTCCTCGTGTGATGCCAGAGTATCGGGTCACAGGGACAGTAGTAGACATGTGGCACAATACCTGTCCCTGGGAAGACTGTTGAGGGAGAAAGCGTTTTACTGAGTATTTCCTATAGTCTAATTTCTCACCAGCTCGACAAATATATTTGATTTGCCTTGATAGTATGTCTAATAACGGAAACAGTATTCTTAATCTAGTTACTGCTTCCTGAACTTTATGATAGAAATTATGTTAATGTAACTCATAAATCACCAACTATAGTAGTATATAAATTGCTGATGAGCAACCGTGTTGTTACCAAATCACAACATTTGCTGTTTAACCATACCCATGAACTCTGAGAAACTTATTTTGCAAAAATCTCTCCAGGAGAAAGCTTCAGAGCAGAAGACTCCAAAGAGACAATTCCAAAGAGGCTCTAAATGGAGGTATGGAAAATGTTGCTGATATTCCTGTGTTCAGTGGGTTGTGCACATGGATTGTTACCAAACAGACTTAAAAACTTTCTAGCAGCCAATGCTTGCAGGTGTGAACTTGTTAGATTGGAAATGTAGTAGGTGATTGCAGAATAACTCAGAGTATCACAAGTAATATAGCTGAGTGTCAGCCCTTGGGAGTACAGCCCATTATTTTGTTCTATGTGTAGAATCCTTTACCTAAAGATATGTTAATTAAGCTCTTTAACATTCAGCTTGTTTGTTGATTCTAGGGAAGACAACAATGCAGAAAGGATATTTAAGATAATGCCCGAGAGGAATGCACACTCCTATTGCACAATGATCCGTGGGATGGTGAAGGTAAAGTTATCCTTCAGTGCTGGGAAGACTTTTTTCGGCTTGTGAAATCTCACACAGCCGTAGAGTTTGCTTATTTTTGTTGATTTTGTTTTTGCTTTTTGCAGCATGGGGCTTCTGCTAAAGCTTATGACATGTACATAGAATTGCTGAACGAAAGACATAAGGGTAAGTGTCTCCTGGTTTTGACTTCAGCCTTGTAAGTAGCAGAAACCAGTTGTTTGGCGTGCGGATGTTTGTTTCCTGGCAGTGATGATTGGCGCAGGGGTACGGACCTCAGCTAGATCATGGGAGCTGAATGCAAACTGTGTATTGCAGTGCAGCTGGCATGTGGCCGCCTCACTGGAAACAGGTTTGCATGAGACTTTGCCAAAATCTGAGCCATGCTGGAACAAACTGTTCTCTGTAGGCTGTAACTGTCAGTTAAAATGAATTATCTTACATTTTCCAGCCGATGTGCACACCTTCAACGCACTGATTACAGCAGTCCCGTACCTGAAGGACAGGTTCTTAGAAAGATGGGAATTAGCCAAGGTAAGGAGACAGAGTGAAAGGGGTGGGGAAGGAGGAAGAGTGTAGGAGCTTGTTCTACTTTATCAGTAGAATTTTACAGTTATAGGAAGACTAAAAACTAGAGCTTTGTATGAAGATACCAATATCTGCTGCAAAGAAAGTGCATTAGATTAAACATACGAACTAACTGTTGAGGAGTGGAAAATACACTAAGTCCAACCTTGCCCTTGCGGAACGTTTCCCTTGTGAGAACATGCCTGATCCAAGAACTGCCTAGACAGAAAGTAATTGGGAAATTATGCTGGGAGATAAAACCAAACAATTTTAGATAAAAACTCTTTGAATTGTAATTCATGGTGGTGGGATAGAAATGGAATTTGGAGGGATAACATCAGAGGCTTCAGTTTTAATGACATAGCATCAGTAAGGAAAAATGGCCTGTAAATTTAAAAATTTCCCTGATGTTTTAGACACAACTCTCCCAATTCTAATTTGATGTAATTTTGTAGTCTTGATTTTTTTGGTCAAATTGGTTAAAAATTAAATGGTACTCCCTTAATAAATGATTGTTCACTTGAAGAGAGTGAGAAGGATTAGATGGAGGAAATGCATGTAACCTGAAAGCTGAACTGTGATCCATAACGTGTGAAGCACTAAGGATTTGGGGATTTTGTTTTAAGGTCTTCCTGAATCATATGGCTCAACAGGAAGTGCAACCAAATCTGCTAACTTTCAATGCTTTACTGAAGACTTTAAGAAGATGTGGTGGTCTAGGCAGAAATATGTCTTTGTTGGTAATAAGGGAAATGGAAGCACTTGATATAGGTAAGAGAACCAGAATGGTTATTGTATTTCAGTGTCAATTCCAGAAGAGTACAGTTAAGAATTCAGCCCTGAACAGCACAGTGATTCCTAGTTGCAGGCAAGAAGTCCAGGGCTTGTAGAAGAAAGCATTTCTCACTGTGTTCTCAATGTCACTATTTGTTTCCTTTTGCAAGAGAGCTGAGAAATAAAAATGTGTAAGTGCTAAACTGGCCGCTCAGCAAACTGGTGCCCGTGGATTTCAGTTTGATTTGTTGTTTTTAGAGCCTTTTTTCAGCATTCATTACTAGTTAGGATATAGTGGGAGCACTTAGCCCCTTAGGTCGAATGACGTAGCATGATTTTGCTGCTGTAATTGTTTAGATTAGGAGCATGTTTATCATTCCATTTTTACCTGTAGCTACCTCTAGCTACTTGGTGACAGGTGTGTGTGTGTGCAGTGGGGGAGCATGTCCTGGCCCGTAGGCTCTTTCTTAATTGAGTCTGTATTGCTGTACTGCTGTAGAAGTAGTGAATACTATGAATGTCTATTTGGAGCAGTCAGCTGAGTCTGTTAGCTTCCCATAGATCAAGGAGATTTACTTCAGAAGCCACCCGGGCAAGTTCATGTATATCTGCATCTCTACAGAAAAAACTTCTGATTTACATGATGGTTTTTGCTGTCAAACAAACATTGCAAGAACAGGTTTGACAACTGGTTTGATGTCTTCTGGAGCGGGCTTTGCCCCAGTAATGTGCTTCTTGGTTCACGAGCGAAAAGAGAAACCAGCTATGAAATATTTTGGGGTTTAATTTAGAGCCCCATAGCAATATGATGTTTCAAGTGGTGATCTGCCCTCAGATAGCATCTCTCCCAGTTGTTACATGTGTACATGAAATCTAGTCCAACATTAGGATGGACAGGGAGAGAAATGAGGTAAATTATGCATGCTGCCTGACTGGAAGGGCAGAAAAAACTATTAATTAGAGCTCAAGTATAAGGTCAGTCAAGTATGTCAAAGTAACTTAATTTTTTTTCTTCTCAGAGCCCAGCCTTGCAACATATGATCATATTCTCTTCATGTTTTATCGAAGCGGTACGTGCGATATCAACTTGTTCATGAATGTGTCCTGTCTAACACCTGCTTCAGTTGCTTCCCAGATGTGACAGCAGTTGATTTACGGGTTAAAAACCAATCTCTTGTGTGTGCAGTCCTAGTGTTACCTGTTCTGTCCAATTCTACCTGGGTGAACAAAAAGCTACAGAGGATCATAACCTCTTACGGGGATGTGTTTTGAGAGCAGGTGGAAGTGGGAAGAAAGGCTGTTTCCCTTCTGTTTGTGGCCATAAGTTGATAAAGGACAAATGCTACTCAGTCTCTGTGAAGGCTGGATCTGACTACAACACATGGGATTTAGTAGACTATTCCACTCATAGGGAAAAAATTACGCAAGGATTATGTTTTTCTGCAGTAGTTCTGTGCGTTGGAGCTGTCTGGAAATTTAAGTGTACTAGAAGGCAGAAGCCCAGCTGTTGGAGAGCCAGAAATCTGCGAGTGTGAAAAGAAAATAGACACCATCGTCATAGCTGCAGTCTTTGTGTGTTAACAAACATGGAGGAAATGCCTTTTTAGGGGCATTTTAGGGGGGTGGGGTTTTTTTCACTTTTTAAATATTTTTTGTTTGTTTATGAAATGCATTGCTTTTCCCAGTGCAGCCTTCTAACAAACTTCCAGGCCTGTTGGATTCCTTGCTAGAACGTCTGTTGTGCTGTGGAAATCTGGCAGTAGTAGGGTGAATTTTAGAGCAAATAAAATTGGAGCTGGTGTCGAGCACCACGAGGATCTTGACACTTGTATGAAATTATGTTGTTTGTTTTCATTTCCATACTGTATTTGTGGGCTGCTGCTCTTCACAACTAGGTGCTTAATGCAACTGAGATGTGCTGTTGCTTGTCTCTTCCTCTTGCAGCTGATCTTCAGCCATCAAACATCATCTCTGAGGTGCTAGATGAAGTTGGAAAGAAGAGTTTCACTCCCCAGGACCCTCATGACGGTAGGGACTTTGATATAGCTAACAATCTGCTTTGGTTAAGCCTAGGTAAAAAGGTACTGATGAATTTTATGTAGTTCTACCCAGCTAGGTAAAAATGCGTGGAGCTTACTTATATCAGTTCCTTCTACTACTTTCTGGAGACAAAGAAGGACAAGCTGGGAAGTTATGGTGGGCACTGGTGCACTGGGTTCTGGAGGAAGTGGGAGTGTAGCCCACGTGAACGAACGTTGGAGCCCCATACAGTAAAAACCAGAACGCTGTTTGCAAGTTTAAGGAGAAACATCTACTGGCAGCTTCATGAAATGATACATGTCTGGTGAACAGTAGGTTTTTGTTATAGAGTGGTGTCAGTTCCTCTTCTAGTTCTTCCTAATCCTTTTCAGAAAATAGCATGAAGTAAAATTTGATGCAAAACTGAAGCTTGGTTCTGTAGAATGGGTAGATCGGGAACATCCCACTTCTCACTGGCTCTTTCTGCCAAGTGTACATACACAGCTTTGCCCTCGGATGTTCGTAGCCCTTCTGTATGTACAGAAGTAGACAGAGCTTTAATCTGGAGATGAGTGTGATAAAGAGGAGCCTGTAGCTGTGCTGTGTGCGATGTGCTGTTAGCAAAGCGCTGGAAGCCGCTCTTGAGCAGTTCTACAGACGGTAGGATGAAGAAGCTCTTACAGTGCATGCTTCAGGAAAGCAGTGAGGAGCTGATATGTTGTCATTTAAGGGACAAAGATAGATTATGAGATTCTGTTGGAGTAGCATATTCAGTTACCCTACCAGCAATTTTTTTTTGTCCTTGGAAAGAAGCCTGGAAATAGTCAGAATGTTGTACACCTCTTGTTTGCTTCTGCCCTGCTCTGTGTGTTACGCTTTTTCTTCCTCATAAACTGCTGCCAGAGGTGTAGACACGGACTGTACATGCTCTGCTCCTTCTTGAGAGAGGTACTGCTGTTAGCAAAGAGAGTGATGATGGGAACTCAGATCCAGGCCTTGCCTGAGTTGTGGGAGTTTAATGAGCTTTTCTATGCACTGTTGTGGGTTTTTTTCAAAAAAAAAGAGAGGTTGCTCACAGAAGACTAGATCAAAA